GTGACTATCGAAGTTTTCCAGAACGGAAAGACGCATCATGAGTGAAAAAAAGTAGCGAACACCCTGGCTAAGCATTTTCACCATGAAACTGCAGTGTTTCAGACTTTCAGGGTTTCACTCATAGCAAACATTTAAGGAACCAATCCTGTCAGCTTGCAATTTGGGACTTTCTGTATCAGTATTCTGTTTCAGAATCTATTCCCATCTTGAACATGTGTGGGTGAATTGCTCCAATATTACAACTTTTCATTATGTAGTGAAGAGTAGCTTCATAGTGTTTGAGCAGTCGTAGGTGAGCTGGTGTGCTTGAGCTGCAACAAGTGGAGAGGAGTGATTGGAGAGAGGCATGAACTGTAGATGTCCATTCTAGACAAAGTAACGGTGTAGAGGGACATCCAAGCCATTAGAAAGGTAAGGAGGGTTACTTTCAATTGAAACAATTCATAAGCATATGACTTAATTACACAGACAGGAATTTTTAGGGGTTAAATTGAAGACCAGACGTTCAGAAGCTTTTTTGTTCGTTTTCTTTCAATCTTAAACAAAATAGTTGCTAAGCAATTTTCTGTCAACCCGGTAATCATGTTGTTTTCAGCCTTCTCGTGATCATGTAATTCTTCGGCTGAAGTAACAACTCACCACTGTTTCACAAGAGCGACCGGTTCAGGTTAAGCACAGATCACTCTCCTCAATGTTTTTCCATTTTGCTCCTAAATTTTTTAAAGTAAGTGCCAATTTGCTCCATGGAAAATGCATGACTTTAGTGTGTGTGTGTGAGAGGGGAAGCCGTGTATGTGTTTTATTATACATGTGTGGAGAGAGCATATGTATTTATAGCCAAGAGTAACTTTGTGTGTGTGTGTGTGTGTGTGTGTGCGCACACATTTCTATGCACTGAGATGGCAGTCATCTGAACGGGCCACGTGACTAGAGTGGAGAGACGAGGAGGGGAGGAGGAGAACTTGACCTCAGACTTGTTTGCAGTCTGTGTGGCAGTATGTCAGTCTGTGTCGATGGGTCTGCTTTTAACTGAAGTACATATATATTACAAAAAGAGTACTTACGATGAAAGGAAGTAGACTCCTACTGTCGTCTGTCAACTTTATGTGAAGTTGAAAGTCATCAGAACTCAGCTCTTTGGGAAAGATATGGTGGTGACTGGCAACACAGAAAAATATATAAGTTAGCGCTCTGAGCAGAATTTATATTCCGGCTTAAAACTGAGCAAAAACCTCAGCCATCTGCAAAGTGCACAGGCTTTTTGCACATTTTTTTAAAGGTACTTTTTCCTACACAAAATTGTCCCCGTTTATTTTAAATGTGCCTTTGCTGTAATTTTCAAGTTACTGAGAGACAATAGGCAGGTCGTATTCCTGTTGTAAATGAGATTTGGTGCTTTGCTTAGGGAGCACATGCAAGGCTGCTGATGAAGTGCATTTTCCCTGCCTGTGTTTGCCAGACTGTGTATGGTAATGTACGGTCATGGATGTCTGTGTAGTAGAGTGGCACTTGTCATTGTTGGATTTAATGGCACTCAGGCTACACAGACACACACAAAAAACCCACTTTTTGCTCCATTAATGCGTCTGCTGTAGAAAGTCCCGCGTGCTAATGGTCGGGGACTAAACTGAGACTCTGGAAATGGGTCATTGTAAAAGTTCACATGGCTGTGTGTGTCTAGAGCAGTGTGTTTCATCGAGCTGCATAGCGGTGGCACGAAGTAGTGTGTAGCTGCAGCAGCAGGCAGGCAGACTGCTGGTGATTAGGAACAACAGGGCAGAGTTCAGCTGAGTGTGTGGGTGTGGAATACTAATCCACATTGTCATAAGGCGAGGTTCAGCCTGACAAAGGGTTGGACACATAGGGGGGTTACATAGCTGTTTGTGTGCGCACACGTGTGTTTGTGTGTTGCACCAGCAACCTAGATAAGAGAGGTGCTTCATTATTGCAGATTAGGGCCGAGTAGCAGCATGGTGTGTTAATAAAGCAAGGTGGGGGGTGGGAAGGTGTAACAGACGCGAGAGAGGCACAGGGAGAGACAGGAGGAGAGGGAAACGGTTGTGTTGAAATGTGCAAACGTTTGCACCTGCACACATTCATTTAGAAATAGAGCGCAGAGCAGCAGGAATAATGAGCAGTAGTGTGTGTGCGTGCATGTGTGGGCGTTAAGCTGTCAACTGTCAGGTAAGCAGGAATTACTGGGAGAGATCGGCGACCATTAGTGGAACATACACTCCCCAGGTCTAATTGGTCCTTACAAATATAGATGTACACACACACACACACACACACACACAC